GATGTTACTCTTACCCAGGCGCTGCTTTAAGCTCTTCTGCTTAAGTTTTAAAGCTGCCTGGACAGAGGGTCTATTCTCCATCTGCTGGGCCAGTCTTCTGTTTCTGGCACTGGCTAGCTGCTGTTGTTGCTGCATCGAAGCCCGAATATTCACTGGCATCGGTTGTTTGTTCTTCAGCATATTAGTAAAGCTTCAAGGTCGAACAAAATGGATGTTTAAATAAAAGCTTTATTACAAAACATTTATTGGCATTTTCATGGCTTGCTAGACCAGGAGCTCCAGATCCCACGAACTTTTAAGTAAAGTGGTACACTTAGATCAAGGCTGATGTGGGTTAAAGACTCCACTGTTTCCACAAACTTGCAAGAATCAGAAACTTAGAAATGCAGCTAAGTGCAGCACATTCAATCAAAAGTGATAACAAGGGCTCAGGTAACAGCTTTTAGAGAGGTGGGAAGTATGAAAAACACGCAATAAGCAGATACGATGACAAGAGACAGAAGATGTAGTTCAAAGACAAAGAAAGCTTAGACCTTGGGAGACCTGAGGAAGCATTCTATAAGGCAAATATGAGAAAGGACTAGAGGACCTTTGAAGCTCATGGAAATAACGTACTCATAAAAATTACAGGAGTATAATAAATTTTAAAATATATTTGTCACTTTAGTAACATATAAATATAATCAGCATATCATATCTTTAAGAGATAAGGAAAGCAGCACATATGCTTCAGAAGAGCCAAAAATAGACATTAATTAAATATCTTAGTAGTCTATTATCAATTTAATAAAGTTATCGGTCAAATGTACACAAAGAACAAAGTTCTCAGAGATAGAAATTGCCTTTAAATATCTTTAATTTTGTTAGTCTCAAACAATCACTTTTTATGACTCCAAGTAAATACTTCTGAAAGCTAAATTAGTTCAATCTTTAAGAGCCTGTGGAGATACCCTGTATTATTTGTAGGTAATTTAATGGAATGGAAGAGAAAAACATTTAACTGTAAAAGAAGCCAAAACAAAAACAAACTAAAAGCAGAATGGAAAGAAAGTAAAATGGAACAAAGCCAAGTGCCTCTTACAAGGCCCAAGAATGACATTCAAGGGCCTTTGGACATATTCATAGCTTGCTACCTGCCTCTTACAGGCCAAACACAACACTGCTGGCCTTGGACTAGGCAGCAAGCCTACTGCAGCCAGGATACCATGCTATTGTGCTGCACCACCCATGTATCAATGTAAAACAAATGTGAAGAAAAGGGAGGGTGTCAGGAGTCTTTTTAAAATATATCCCACCAGATAAATATTTCAGATAGCTTAACATAAAAGTCTACTGATAAGGGGTTTTGAAACAGCTGCCCCATTTGTTTTGTGTACCACATAAGCTGCAACTAAGAACAGAGGTCTGTAGCCTTCTGTTGGTATTTAGCTTAAAAATGGTTTTGTGCATTGGACCCCAGGGCCAACTTAAGTAATGTTTTCTTAGGAAGGAGCTGAAGTTGCTGTTGGCTGCCTCACCGCTCATTTAGAGACATCTTGGTGGTGCTTTTTAGCACAACTTTCGGCGCTGACTGTGCAGCCATCTTCAAATCCCGAGAATCGAAGGAAACGGACGCCAGTGCTCCTCCCGGGGCTGCCACCACGGCTGCGGCGGATGGGCCGGGGACCGGCCGAACCTCAGCTGACAGTGGAGGGGCTTGGGTTAGCTAAGTGGGCGGTTGGTTAGATGCGTAAGCTGTAGATTGCAAGGTTAGTTCGTTGTTGCTGTTTGACTGTCTGGTTGGCCGATCCGCCTAATCGCCCAGCCTGCCTTTTCCTGCCTTTCGTCTGTGCCACCACAGATACTGCAGCCGCCGCCAAGTCCCGCTCGAGGTCCAAAACAAAATGGCCGCCCTACAATTGTTCTTATACCCTACTTTACTTATACTAGTTTAAGTGGAGTTTCTGCCAAGACTGAATGTGTCCTGACTGTAATCTTAGCCCTAAACTCATGGCCCTGTCCTATCACCTCAGTTCGTCCTCCACATGGCTGCCAATGTGACCTTGTAGTGTTTGTAACATCTGATCTTGAAATGGCTCTGCTCAATTTCTTGAAAGCTTGTCACCCACAGCTTTTATATTTGATAAAGTTTATAAAATGTAAACTCTTCATATGCTATTTAAGCCTTGGTATGATGTCTCCTACTTTTCTTTCCATCCTACCTCTAGCCACTCTGCATTGCAGACTTTAAACAGGTGAAATTAGAGCTCCTTACTGGTCTCAAGTTCTCCCTGGCCTCCAGGACTTCATACATGACATTATTTCTGAAATACTCTTGCCTGTTTGAGCTCAAATGCCATCTGCCCCGAAGAGTCTTCTTTTGCTTCCTTAAACAGACTTTACTATTTATTCCTTTCTGCTTCCACTGTGTCCTCCTTTCAGTAATGGTGGAATATTGTCATAGTTTTTGCCTTTCTGCAACCAGCATATAAGCTCCCTGAAAATATCTGTATTTCTTCATACCCAGCCCAGCAAATGATACTAATTGGAACTAAATATATGTTCAAGGGTGGATGAATGGTTGTTCAATATCATCTCTCCTAGCTTCTCTCCATCCACCCAGTTCCCCACCACGCTATTTCTTCACGAGTCCTTAGATTTAAGCAACAACTTAAAACTCAATGTCTTTTTAAGAAATCATGTGTCTTTGAAGTCCTGATTTGAGAGTCATTGTTCTCCTAAGTTCTCTGACCTACCTACCTTTAGAAAGCCAATTCTAAAGCACATAAAACCTACTAGACATCAGAACCTGGTGTTCTTTTTTTTTTTTTAATATGGAATGCTTCACAAATTTGCATGTCATCTTTGCACAGGGGCCATGCTAATCTTCTCTATATCATTCCACTTTTAGTATATGTGCTGCCAAAGCGAACACAGAACCTGGTGTTCTTTATAAACTGGGATGAGGGGCTCAAGGTCTAGCTTTGCATTCATTGTTTATAAAATTGTAAGCATGTTTATAAGGAAAGGAATTGAGTTCAAGATGACAGATGGTCCACCAAGCTAAAAGGAGTCATGTGATGTAGGTCACCATTCCCAGTTACCTTAGTGGGTGTAACAGTGACGATCCTCGGAACCTCAGTCAGTATCATCTGGACTAAGACATGTGTGCTCCCGCAGCCATTTGGGAAGGGAATTTAAGCTTGTTTCCTGTTGTGCATTTCTGCAGTTTCACTCACTGAACATAAGGGTAGAAGCTTGAATTTAGCCCTGAAATAGAGTGAGATCCCCTCTTATTGGCCCTATGGTGCACAGATGCAGAGAATACCCTATGACGTTGCATTATTAATAGCTGAATCAAAGCTGAGGGAAATGGGAAGCCATTGAAAGCAGAGGTAATAATAAGAATACCTTTCATTTGTACATTTTGAGGAATTAACCAGTATCCTATTAGCCTGAAAATGTCAATTGAAACTTCCCAGAGGTGTTCAGCTTACCCCCAGGAAATAATTTAGACTTTTTCACATTATTTCATTATCTCATATGATCTCACAATCTTCTTAAGAATAAGGAAAAACAATCAAATGTACTGTGACTTTCACTTTGTTGAAAGATAAATGGAAACAAGGGGGTTATGAAGGGCATTTCCCAGACTGGGCTTGGTAACTCATGCCTATAATCCTAATACTCTGGGAGGATCAGGCAAGAGTGAAACTCCATCTCTATTAAAAAATAGAAAAATTAGTTAAGTGTCATGGTGCACACCTGTAGTCCCAGCTGCTTGGGAAGCTGCGGCAGGAGGACCACTGAGCCCAAGAGTTTGAGATTACAGTGAGCTGTGATGATGCCATGGCACTCTACCCAGGGCAACAGAACGAGTCTCTGTCTCAAGAAAAAAAAAAAGAGGAAAAGAAAAAGAAGGGCATTTCCCCTAGGCTCAACAGTGGAGTCAGTATTACAACTCCACACTTACACTATTAGGCCAGTGGTCTTCAGCTATGCTACTGGCAAAGCCCCCAGAAAATGTGTTTAAAACTGTATACTACAAACACATTCCTAAGTTGACCTCAAAATTTTGTTATCAAGTTTAAAGAACTATAAATAATATCATTTCCAGAACTTTTTAAATATGAAAAATTTTATACGTATCTGATATATTCAATGGAATATAACATTTAAGTGTAGTCAATGGAAGGTAAATACCACAGTGATTTGACTATTGTAGCCTTTTTTGTTTGTTTTAAAGAGATATGGAGTCCTACTATGTTGCCTAGGCTGGCCTCAAACTCCTGAGTGCAAGCAACCCATCCATGTCAGTCTCCTACCTAGCAGGACTATAGGCAGTATGCCACCACTCCTAGCTGCTCCATTTAAAAAGAAAAAAAAAAACCTCTAAGACATGAAATGATAAAAACTAGAAGAAAGTGTGGGACAAACTCTTGATGATGTTGGTCCGGGGAAAGGTTTCATGAAGACCCCATTGGCAATTACAGTGACAACAAAAATAAATGGCACATGGACTTGGTAACTCATGCCTATAATACTCGTACTCTTGGAGGAAACTTTTCAAGATAAAAAGTTTCTGCACAGTTAAAGCAAAAATACAACCTTCAGGATGGGAGAAGATATTCATGTGTTATAAATCTGACAAAGGGCTAATAATCAGAATCTACCGAGAACTCAAACCAATCAACAAGAAGAGCAAACAATCCCATTTATCACTGGGCAAAAGACACGAATAGAACATTTTCCCAAGAAGACAGATGAATGACTGAAACACACATGAAAAAATGCTCATCGTCTCTAATCATCAGAGAAATGCAAATCAAAACCACCTTGAGCTATCACCTAACCCCACTAAGAATAGCCCACATCACAAAGTCCCAAAGCTGCAGACACTGGTGTGCATGCAGAGAGAAAGGAACTTAGACTCTGTTGGTAGGACTGCAAACTAATACAGCCCTTTTGGAAAGAAATATGGAAAATCTTCAAATAACTAAAAGTAGATCTTCCGCTTGATTCTGCAATCCCATTACTAAGTATCTATCTAGAAGAAAAAAATCATTTTACCATAAGGACATCTGCACTAGAATGTTTATTGCAGCTGAATTCACAATCACCAAGATACGGAAATAACCCAAGTACCCATCAACTCATAAATGGATAATACATATACATGTTATATGTTATATATTATATTATTATTATTCATCCATCTGTGACTTGATGGGCACTTGGGTTATTTCCATATGTTGGTGATTGTGAATTGAGCTGTGATATATATATAACACATATATATACACACACACAAGCACACATATACCATGGAATACTATTCTGCCATAAAGAAAGATTAAGAGTTTACTTAGCCGGGTGTTGTGGCAGCTAAGTATTGAGTATTAAAAAAAACAAAAACAATGTACTCAATACTGATATGAAATTAGTAGATTTACAACTACACGCCCACATGAGAGAAAAACACAATTAATTTCAAGAACTGGGGAGGAAGAAGGAGGGAGGAAATTTTTGTGTTTTTTGAGACAGAGTCTCACTATGTCACCCTTGGTAGACTGCTGTGATGTCACAGCTCACAGCAATCTCAAACTCTAGGGTTTAAGCAATTCTCTTGCCTCAGCTCCCAAGTAGCTGGGACTATAGGTGCCCACCACAACGCCCAGCTGTTTTTTTTTTTTAATTGAATGGTAACTATGTACATTAATGCACTTCTGGGGTACAGTGTGGGGTTTCACACACAATCCAAAACATTTTCATCAAACTGGTTAACATAGCCTCATGTCATTTTCTTAGTTATTGTTTTAAAACATTCACATTCTACTCTTAGAAAGATTTACTTGTACCCTTGTAAGATAAACCTCAGAAGTGATCCCTCCAATCCCTCTCCCTCCATCCATTTCCCCGTTCCCTTTCCCTCCCCCCTCCCCATATTCTTAGGCCATTATTAGGTTATAGCTTTCATATAAAAGGTATAAATTCGTTTCATATGGGGTGTGTACATTGGATACTTTTTCTTCCATTCTCGTGATACTTTGCTAAGAAGAACATTTTCCAGCTCCATCCATGTGAACATGAAGGACGTAAAGTCTCCATCTTTCTTTACAGCTGCCTAGTATTCCATGGTGTACATATACCACAGTTTGTTGATCCATTTGTGGATCAATGGGCACTTGGGCTTCTTCCATGACCTGGCAATTATGAATTGGGCTGCAATAAATATTCCAGCTATTTTTTTTTGTCGTAGTTGTCACTGTTGTTTGGCAGGTGGGGCTGGGTTTGAACCTGCCAGTTCTGTGTATGTGGCTGGAGCCCTGGCAGCTGAGCAGAGGCACCAAGCCAAGGAGGAAGATTTTTGTAGGGTCTCAGGCACAGGCACAATATCAGTGTACATGGCACACCTGCTGAGTGAAGGGCTCAGCTCCAACTTTGACTTTCCCTAACAAATGCAAACAATGAACCTAATCATATGAACCCTTATATTAATCTGAAATTTAATAAGAAAGCTCTTATTTAACTGTTGGAAATTTTACATCATGTAAAATTCCATGTAAAAATTCCTGAACTTACACTTCTTTTCATTCTACTTCCCCTTCAAAAAAATGCTTTATTGATAATCCTATCAAGCATGTGTATATAAATGTCCACTTAAATTCTTGAAAGTTTTCTGTGACCATAAGGCTCCAAGTAATAAAATTCTTCTATATTGATTGATTAATATAATTACCATTGTTAATTAAATACTTGATTAAAAAAACCATAAACATGTTATAAATTTTGATGAACAATCGTATAATAAAAAGAAAAACTCTATTGAAAATGTGCCTTTTATCAAGAAAGGAGGCTGTTTTCTTTTCTGATTTACTCATGTGTCTGTCAATAAATATTATTTATTAAAAGAA